CAATTTACTTAAAACCTCTAAAAAGAACTCTACATGTGTTACCTTATAGGACTAAATTCATTTAATATCAAATATAATTTCTCTACATGTGTCACCTTATAGGATTAAATTCATTTAATATCAAATATAATTTCTCTACATGTGTCACCATATTGGATTAAATTCATTTAATATCAAATATAATTTAAGGCCCATCCTTTCGACTTCGATAACTTGGGCTTCATTAATCCAAATTAACTTTTTCACGAGCCTAAAGTGCATAATTAATTTCGATCTATCCAACGAGACCAAAATTCATATACTTATCATACTCGTCGAAAATCTAAATATATGACCCAAATAAAATTGAAATTGCTTTATATCATTTTAGTCCCTAACAATCAAAACATCAAGATATAGCACAAAGAATTTAAATTATATTCTATGAAAATTTTCAGGCATTACAAAATATTTTCCCATCATATCTTCTTTGAATTTTGTCCAAGTCAGGCACGTTGCTATGCTTCAATTCTAGTGCGTGAAGTTGACTTCCATCAATGGCCTGTTGCATCAACAAACATGATTTCTGCACATAATACTTTTTGAGCATCCGTATATGAAAGATGTTTGAAGATACGCTCCATTCCTCCTTTTCCAAGTTATCTTAGTTGTTTTTCCAAGTCCTGATCATGTGAAAAGTATAACTTCAATTTTGCTACATTTTTGGGGTGACATTTTATTTCATCGCATAAACAATATTAAAAAAAAATTTAGCTAACAAGTCATGCGAGGTAAGCATACTTATACATTTCATAATATGAGGCAAGATGCTAAAAAAATTATTTCATTTAATACCCAGAACAATTAGAGAGTGGTCGAATAGTGAGTGCCACATGCCAATAATTCTTTATAACATTGCATGTTTAAAACTTTAAAAATTTTACATTATCTTTAAACTTCTAAAGTTTATGAAAATATAACCCCATTTTTTTTAGAAATTTTCTAAAATAGGATTTTCTCNTTATGTCTTTTTGACAAAGCCTATCAATCTTGCGAATACTCAAATCAAGAAAACTCAAACAATAAATAAAACTTGAGACTTCTTAAAATATGAATTTTCTAATTGGTAAATTTTAAAATACCTCCCGAAAGCTAGAACTAAACATACAAACATGTACAATCATAATTTGAAGTCACGTTTAAAAACTATTATTTAATTACTTAAAACAATTACTAATATCATTTATTTAACAAAAGAAAAGAAAAGGAAAAATCTGTAAAATTTTTTATTGAAAAAGCGTGGTCATTGTTCATATGAATAGTGATACGTACTGTGCATCACTGTTCATATGAACAGTGTCGAGCACTGTTCATGTGAACAGTGCACGTGAATAGTAACTTTTTTTTACTACAAAGTCTATAGTAAAGCAAAATCTACACTCCGATACCAAACTGTAACACCCCAAAATTTCACAAACAATAGTGTTACCAAAAATTTACTTTTTGCGGTACGATAGAATAATATTCTTTAAATAAAAATAACTGGAATATCTATAATGAAAACATAATCACAAATTAAATAACTGTTTTTGAACAAATTAAACTGTCTAATAATTTAAAGGAAAAAATAAACTTAATGTTTTATCTTTTCAATTCCTCTTGGCAGTCGCATCACCATCCCGCCACTGCTCCAATTGTTCTGAATTAACCTGTAAAATTTTGTAAGAGTGAGTATTTAAAAATATCTAGTAAGATATACGTAGTTCCCATACACAATTATATAACAATAAAATAAACAATTCATACCAACCTCCTCTTACGGAGTATGTCGGTGATCAAGCGACACACACATCTTAGGTCATCTTAAATTCTCGTAGGATCTCTTATTTCTTAATAAAGAATCCGAAGGTCCACAGGCAATTCGTATTTAAATTACTGAATATAAAAGTATAAGAAAATGAACCACTTGCACAAAAATATCTTACCTTGATTGATCAAATGAGCTTTTGATAAAAAAAAATATATACATGCAATTTACAGCTACTTTATATTAAAGCTACCGTGTATACTTCTTTGGTGGTGAATTGTGTGACAATTGCAAACTATTTATAGTAAAAAAATAGTGGTTGAGTCATGGTACAATTGGGATGGAAAATCGCTTCTATCAAATTGGATAAAAATTGAATTTTTAGTGAACCAATCAAAATATGACACGTGTACGTATATACACACACACACATACACACACACCTATCACAACAAATTGTGATTCTTGACCAATGACTACCACTACAACACGTGGCTATCTACCCAATCAAACTCTTTCTTTATATATATTTTGTTTTATTGGCTCTAACTTATCTCAAACTTATCCAAATGTAACTTTCATCGAGTCTAAAATATATGATTTAATATGATCTATCCAACAAGTCCAATATTGATATATTAAATCTTGTTGCTCTATCAAAATCTCATTATGTGGTCAAAATAAAAATGTAGCATAAAAAACCAAAAAAATTATTTTGGAAATTTTTGAGCATCACAAGGTGTTCTCTTTAATCCACAGGAGATAGACGAATTCAGAAGGCCAGGAGTTGATGCAGAAGTGCGCAATCTAAGAGGACTTTGGTGATTATAGTCAGGAGGTCAGAAAGTACTATAGTTAGTCAAGTCTACATAATTGTAAGCTGATTCGTTTATAGTCGATTGTTATTAGCTTGGGCCCGGAGTTTTTAAGTAGTTACGGGTTTTCTCCATTATCAATTTTCTATTGTTATTTATTTTTCAGTAATTTATTGACTGCTGTAATTCAACATAGGATAGCTATGCATGTGAATTCATCTGGATTAATTAATAACTGTGACTTGTTGCAATTATTAATTGGTAAATTTAAATTCCACATAAACATCTATTCACCCCCTCTATGTGTTAATTGGGTTGAATCTCGTTATTTCAACATAAAAACCTAGAACGAAGTTAAAAAAAAAAAAAACCGAATTTTGAATATATCATCAATCTAATCACCATGGTATCTGCACACCATATTTCCTTCCATATATTCTCGAGCTTGACAGCCTAGAGTTCAAGTTTTGAAGAAAAGCTTCAACTTCTTTAAAAATTAATATTAATTATGCTCTTTCGATTTTTAATGAAATTTATTTCAAGTTAATAGAGATGTAGCTAGACATCATGATGTTTTATATATTAATTTTCGCAGTAGTGAATCCAGCCATGAGTTTGGACAGGGGCTGCAATACAAATGTACAAGGGTTTATCTTGAAAAAAGAGAACAAAATGGACATTTGTAGGGGCGATACGAGCTGTAGTCCGATCCATCCCGTGCCTGTATCCGCCCTTGACTTTCCATTTTGAACTTTTTCCATGCATGTGTAGAAATGCTCTTGCAACATTCTCCTTTACACCATGTTGAAGGTTGCTTGTTAAGCGGCCAATAAAATATTGAGTTTTCTTGCATTATGTGAAAAATGAATGACCTAAAATGCAATGATTTTTTATGCATGATTCAAAACTATCAGGAATTAAGAACGTGATTATATGACACAATATGAAGTAAAGATCATACCACAAGAAGAACACAAGACATTGGTTGAGGAAACGAGAATTCACTATAATACAGAGAAAGAATACAAGGATATTGTATTGTCTAACATTTTTTTTATTATTTCATTTTGTAAAGAAGAGCCAACTGCATATAGAATACATGTCAAAACTTAATAATAGTCATAAAGATGAAAATAGCATAAAAAAAGAATATCGTGGGCCAGATGCCGTCGCCTCTTGAGTGCTACCTTGTCTGGAAGCAAGTGGCAGGCTGGCGCCAGCGGGAGCCAACTCCTTGTTTTGTGCGCTTGAACGGAAGCATGGCGCACAACTAATCGGGATGCGGCTAAATCACTTATTGGTTCATAATTTGACCTCTTCAAGGCCCACTTCAACTAATTCACAAATACCCATTCGAATTTGGGTCTAACTTTAACAAATATCCATCTTGACACAAATTTCAACGCAACAAATAAGACTTCAAAACATATAGTGAATACATTAGAACTTTTCTAAGGTTGAGAATGACACATTAACAGCTTAATTGGACATATGAGCAGAAATAACATATTCTGGATTGTCTTCAGAATCTCTGGCTTGCATTGACATCATGATATGTATCAAAATAGAATAGTGTAAATGAACATGTGTAATGTATTATGTATGACGGAATAATGTATCAAACTGTTAATAACATTTCACGTGTTAAAGACTTTCTGAAGTTTGTCATGCTTGATCACAAAGCCAGATTAAAGTATGCAGCAACTAAGATATATACAAAGGCCATTTCCATGTAGAAAAACTGGATACACAGTGTTAACTGTTGAGAAAGAACGATTTCTTCTTGAAATTGTTACACATTAAAGACTTAGAAAATGCAAACTATCCTAATTCACTTGCAAAAGAAAAGCTGACAGACTAATTCTAATGAATTGGCGAACAACTTCAATTAACCAGCCAACTAATGCATTATCAATAATTTCTATAATTTAACCAGTTTAAGAATAGTGCATTGGTAATTATGTAAATTATAGTTTCTCATCTGCATTATATTTCCTCTGCTAAAAAAATTTCCTCGAAGTACTGAGAATGAAAGATTAACCACTTTGAAATTAATTCAAACCACAGAATAAAATATTAATCACTTTGAAATTAATTCAAACCACAGAATGAAAGATTAACAACTTTGAAATTAATTCAAACCACAGAATGAAAGATTAACCACTTTTAACTGTGGATTTCGGAGTTGTAAGTTAATCATTGGTTAATTATCAATTCAAATGACTTGCTCTTGAAAATATGTAGCTAATTCTTTTTTGAAGAGTTGGCAAGTTTTTTTTCTTGAAAAGATAGGTTGATGACTAATTCATATAGAAAGCTGCTCTATAAATAGGCAATCCCCTCTCATGAAATAAACATCCACAAACCACAACAAAATCAAAATATCGGTTGTACTAAAAATGGCTGTTCGCTTTCTAATTTCCGTTCTTATTATCTCATTGGTTTCATTTACACATGCTTATGATCCCGACCCCCTACAGGATTTCTGTGTAGCCGTTAACGATGCTGAAGCAAAAGGTAAATGCATTGTACACTACTAGAATAACAACCTTATCTTGTGTGCAGTACGCCCACTACTCAATACTACTTAACATTAGAATCAACAAAATTTTAGCTTCCTTTTTTTTTTCTTCTAGTATTGTATCTCCTACCAAATATGCATTAGGGAATAATATAATTTTATTGCATTCAGTTTCTTCATAATTTTTATAAAAATTTTCACTACATTTTATGTACTAAATTATGTTGGTATATACGCATATATGGCTTAGCAATGACTTCTATTTTTATTGCAGTTTTTGTGAATGGAAAGATTTGCAAGGATCCAAACATGGTTAGTGCTGATGATTTCCTCTTTCGTGGACTGAAAATGCCTGGAAATACATCAAACCCCGTAGGATCAAGAGTCACTTTTGCCACTGTCGACCAATTTCCAGGACTCAACACTCTTGGTATCTCTTTAGTCCGTATCGACTACGCACCTTATGGTCTCAATGCACCCCACGTACACCCTCGGGCTGCTGAGATTCTTACTGTTGTGGAGGGTACTCTCTATGCTGGATTCGTTACTACGAACCCTATAGATCCAAACGTAAAGAACAAACTCTTCGCCAAGACTTTGTATCCAGGAGATGTCTTCGTATTTCCAAAAGGTCTCATTCATTTCCAGCTTAATCTGGGGAAGAATAATGCACTTGCATTTGCTAGTCTAAGCAGCCAAAACCCAGGAGTCATCACAATTGCAAATGCAGTTTTTGGATCCAACCCGCCCATTAATATTGATGTTCTCACCAAGGCTTTCCAAGTTGACGCGAATGTGATTAAATATATTCAAGGAAAATTCTAGTGGAACATCAACTAGAAAAAAATATTATGATTTGTTTGCCCTCTTGATGATATCTCGTGTGCTATGAAGAATAAAAATGAATAACTGAATAAGTATTGAGTAATGTTTCTTTTGTATGGTTTCTTGATCATAAAGATTTCTAAAAAATATAGTATTTTCCATGTATTGTAAGCCATATCCTCTTGAAGGATATTCTTTATAAATTTGCATGGAATCAATTTAGAACTATCAATTAATGGCTTAGTTCTTAAAGATTTTAACCTAATGATTTTGTTAAACTTTGTTTAATCTGCTAAGAGAAAATCATATGTGATTAATGAATAATTTAACACAAACTTCTACAATAATTAAAAAATATGCCAACTGTACAATATCAAAACACTGTTGGTCATCGTTTACCAGTGAATTGATCACTAAAGTATGCCGACTATGCAAAAGTGTGCAAGGGAAAGAAAAAAGTGTGTTTATAAATGCAATTTTATGAAAGAAAAGAAAAGAAAAAAAAAGAATGAACGAAATTTGTTAAACCATTTTTAATCGGCTCAGAGAAAATCTTATGTGATTAATGAATATTTTATCACAAACTTCTATAATAATTAAAAAATATGCCAACTGTAGATGGCCATCGTTTACCAGTGAATTGATCATTAAAGTATGCCGACTATGCAAAAGTGTGCAAGGGAAAGAAAAAAGTGTGTTTCTAAATGCAATTTTATGAAAGAAAAGAAAAGAAAAAAAAAGAATGAACGAATTTTTTCAATATAAAAAATTTAAAATGATTGTGACAGTAATTTAAAATGACAGTGACAATAGAATCGAAAAGATTTTAAAATATTCGTCTCCGTTTGCTGGTTTGTTTATATCATCATTTCTAAACTGCTGTTATCTCACTATTTCAATTAATTGAAGAAGTTGATGATACAAAGATTGAAACAGAAAGTAATTGACGACTTTTGAGATGCAAATGTATCATTTTTAGGTGGGAATAAGAAAACTGAAAATGTATTAGTTGTTGAAGAACAATTCTTCTCCAAAGCACGGAAGACTTGGCAAGATCAACGTGTATTACCACTGGACCTCTTCAAGTTCAATTTTTTATTAGTTTTCAGCAACATATTTATAAATCAAATCATTGCATTAACCAAATTTAAATCTTTTCCTTAGTCCAAATAATGTTGGCTTATTAATTTACACAAGCTAGAGGGAGAATCAGGAAACACAGACTAAAATCAATGGATAAGATGTCACATCCTACTGTCCTTGGTTCATCTACCACGAAATTAGTTAATGTATATTTCCCATGATTTGCCACATTACTATAAAATAGTTTACATAATTAGTAGATCTCTCGTCAAATTGACAAAAAATCTGCACTAAAGACCAAAGACAGAGTACAACAGCAACATAAGAACTGAACCGGGGAGACCCTAGTCGGGAGAAGAAGGGACGTTTTTTTACCTTTTCGGATATTACCCATTTATGTAGAGAAGTTACAGCTTATGTCAAAACGTTACCCATTTTAAAAAGCTTAATCATTGACTTTTACATAAAACCTGTAACAAAAAAACTGAACTTAGAGTAAATCAGCAATCTAATCAGCATGGTCTCTGCATGCCACATTTCCTTCTATTGCGTATTGAACTTAACACCCTACAGTTGGAGTTTTTAGAGAAAAGTTTCGACTACTTGAACAATAATATTATTTATGTGCCGTCGATTTTTAATGAAATTTATTGCAATTTAATAGAGATGTAGCTATGCATCATGATGGTTAATATTTCTTTTGCCATTTTGGACTTTCTCCATGCATGAATAGGATTCCCTTGTGACAAATATCCTTTACTTACAGTAAACACATTGAACTTTTCAAAGGGTGAGAATGACAGATTAACAGCTTAATTGGACATAATATTCAAATCCCGGATCATGGTTTCAACAGTAATAGCATATTCTGGATTGTCTTCAGCATCTCTGGCTTCCATTATATATGAATTTGGTGCAACTTAACATCCTGATATGTATCAAAATAGGAGAGTATAAATGAAGACCGTGTAATGTATTATGTATAACAGTGATTAATATATCTGACCATTAATAATATTTCTCGGGTTAAAGACTTACTGAAGTTTGTCATACTTGATCACAATACCAGATTAAAGTTTGCAGCAACAGAGATATATAAAAAGGTCATTTCCATGTAGAAAAACTGGACAGGCAGTGTCAACTGTCGAGAAACGAAGATTTCTGTTAAACTCAATTCTTACTCAAGGTTATTTATGTCTTTTGTATATAGATTGATCATGAAATAGGCGTGAGGGCTAGCTGTATTTTGTCTATATTAGTTGAGGTCTTCATTTGTTATTAGTAACAAAATATACCAACTAATTTTCCCGCCTCTCTCTCTCTCACTTTACTCTGATCTTTCCCTGCAACTTCACATGGTATCAGAGAGGAATATTGTTCATTCCGAGTGATGGACAATGAATCTAATGTTGCAGTAGATTTACAGAATTAGAGTGATCAAGAGAATTCATCAGGCGATTCATCAGTTGGAGCAATGGCGGCAAGAAATAATAATCCCGGTGATATTGCCGTAGGAGATAATAATTCTGTCAGTCAATTGATCTCAGATCCGGCAAGTCTGTATTATCTTCACTATGGAGATAACACTGGTATGCAAATCATTTCAGCCGTCCTCACCGAAGACAATTATTCGACATGGAGTCGAGCTGTAACTATGGCATTGAGTGTAAAAAACAAGGAAGGTTTCATTGATGGAACCATAGGCAAACCGAATGAAAATGATCCGTTGTTTAGTGCATGGAGAAGGTACAATCATGTAGTATCTTCCTGGATCATCAATTCCATACCGAAAGAACTCTATCCGAGTGTGATGCATAAGGACTCTGCCAGAGATATCTGGATTGAACTTCGAGACAGGTATAGCCAAGGAAATGGTACACGCATCTATGAATTGAAGAAACAAATCGCTTCAATTTCGCAAGAGAATGGATCTGTTAGTTCCTACTTTAACAGATTCAAAGGTCTATGGGAGGAATTGGACAATTACAGACCAGAGATTAACATCAATAGCCATAAGCATGAGGATCAGGTTATGCAATTCCTGATGGGATTAGACGATCAATTTTCTGCTGTTAGAGGTCAAGTATTGTTGATGGATCCCCTGCCTTCATTGAACAAAGTATTCGCTCTCATATTACAAGATGAAAGACAGAAAGATGTTACTGCTAAGAGGCAGCAACATTTCGAGGCTACTGCATTTGCTGGTAAGATGATGGCTGGATCAGGTATGAATCAGAGATTTAACTCATCCAATTTTTCTCAAAGGAGGGACAAACCTATGTGTAGCTACTGTGGAATGATTGGACATATCAGAGGAAAATGTTACAAACTCGTTGGCTATCTACCAGGCCACAAACTTGCTAGAGGAAGACCACCTATTGCAGGATCAGTAGCTAAGGTACCTGATAAAATGCCTGGGAATTCGAATGTGTCTTTCTCATCAGATCAATGTCAACAGCTTTTAGCTATGCTTGTTCCACAATTGCAAGCACAGCTGTCTGTTAACAACTCAAAATTGCAAGATGTATCATTACCTTCATCAAATGTTCCTGAACCATCTGGCTTTTCAGGTAATCCTTTTTGTTGTAATGGTAATGCCAATGATGTTAAGTGGATCATCGATACTGGAGCTTCAGAACATATGGTCTGTTCTAGTAAGTACTTAACTAAGGTTACAGCTGAGACAAATGCATCTGTTCGATTGCCAAATGGAGATCATGTAGCTGTGACAAGTGTTGGCACAGTTAAACTATCTGATGAGTTGATTTTAACTGATGTGCTTGTGGTGCCTTCATTCACATTCAATCTGATCTCTGTCAGCAATTTGATTCTTAAACACAATTGTTTTCTGATATTTGCGTATCATGTTTGTCTTGTGCAGGATCTTTCAACATGGTGAACGGTTGGGGTAGGCCAACTTGAAGATGGATTATATCACTTCCAATTACCTGATTACCAGAAAAGATTCGAACCTCATAGCAAGTCCTCCATCAAGTCTCATCATCCATCTGTTTATCCTGTTAAATCTGTTATATCTTGTTGCAGTCCTGTTTCCAACCTTCGTTGTAATAAATTTCCTGTTATTTCCTGTAATTCCCTAAGCATCAATAATGTCAAAAGCAACTTCGATGTTTGGCATTATAGGTTAGGTCATGTACCTGCTTCTACATTGTCTGTTTTTCACAAATATGTACCTGATATCAAATTCAATAAATCTATACATTGTTCTATTTGTCCTATGGCTAAGCAACATAGGCTGTCTTTTCCTCATAGTAAAACCAGAACCTCCAAGGCTTTTGACCTCATACACTGTGACATATGGGGTCCATATTCAACTCCTTCGCTAAACGGTTCTAAGTATTTTCTTACTATAGTAGATGACTATAGTAGAGTAACCTGGACATATTTGATGAGAAATAAAGCTCAAACCAGACCTATCATTAAGATCTTTTACTCTCTTATCCAAACACACTTTCAAAGCAACATAAAGACTATACGATCTGATAATGGAGCTGAGTTTCTTATGACTGATTTTTTCAATTCCAAAGGCATTTTGCATCAGGTCAGCTGTGTCGAAACCCCTCAGCAAAATGGTGTTGTTGAGAGGAAACATCAACACATTCTCAACATTGCTAGAGCACTTAAATTTCAAGCCAATTTGCCACATAAATTCTGGGGTGATTGTATCCTTACTGCGACTCATCTTCTTAACAGAACTCCTACGTCTCTTCTTGCCAATAAAACACCATATGAAATGCTCTATCAGACCACTCCTTCATATACTCATCTCAGAGTATTTGGTTGCCTCTGCTACGCCGTTACATTGAAGAGAAATCGATCAAAATTCGATCCCAGAGCCATACCCTGCATCTTCATTGGTTATCCATACGGTATGAAAGCTTATAAACTCTATAACC